AATATATTAATCATATTCATGATTAATTATTAAAATTCCCTATGCATAATTTGAGCTAATTAAGGCACATCTCAATGTGGCTACACCACATAGCACGTAGTTGTATGCATCAAGGGATTTGTACAGCGTGCAGTGGAGGGATATATTCAAAACATAAAAATACGCAATGAAGGAGACACACGACTACTATCGAGGCTAATGCTTATACCGGTCTCAAGCGAAATCTGAGAAACCCCATGACCTGTAACTTAACTTACCTCAAATGCAACCAGCACACCATTGAAGAAGATTTTATAAGCTGGTTCAGTGGCTAATTGTTTGGAGTTAGAAATATATAACTCGCGAGTCGCGCTGCATATTTTGTAATTTTGCCTCAGATACAGGATTGTTCGCTTTAACAAGCAGGTTGTTCATTACCACAGCAACCGCTTGCGTGTCATGCTGAATGCCATTTTCGTGTTTAAAAAGTAACTATACATAAGAGACGGAAATATGCAGATAACCATAACGTTATATTATTAAAGGTTATTTCTATTCGTTACGATATTGATATATGAATGAACTGATGTTGTCAAGTAAGCTTCATGCTTTCCCCCTTGTGAACGTGCACTCCTCTAAACTGTAACGTTAGTCTACGGGTGCTTCACTGCTGCTCATTTTCCCCTGAGAATATCATGTTAACAACAACCCTTTAGAAAACGTAATTCCTTTGTGGATCCTCTTGATCTGGTTTCTCCATGTTTCTTTGACTAATCTCAGTGTCTCAGTCTCACGCACACTGGACGCGAGTTAACCATGTGTTCGACACATTTAACTGGGAGTGGGGCCGTCCACACTGTTTTATCCATTGTAGGCACCGCTCACGTTGTGTTTTCGGCTTTGGAAACGGAAAGAACACAACTCCAGACAATCGGGGTACCTATGTCCGATTTACAAACGCCGTGGGCGCACCGCTTCACCATCTTGCTTGGAGTCAATGTTTGACTAGTCTCAGCCTCAGACGTCACGCCCACGGAACGTTGGCTATACGTCTGATGCATATGGTACACTTAACTGGAAACACTTCAGGAATGTCGAAGTCGTCATCTGATTCGTTGAATTTTATCGGATTTCCGGGGGGCGCGAGTGTCGCGGTTATTTTCGGTCCGCCGTGAAACAAAGCGCAGACATGTGATTGTGGAAGAAAAACTGTTGTTTACATTTGTGACAATGAGCATTTATCAAGATCAGCTAAACGTAGAATTCTCAAAAGTCTGCGAGGTTCACGGCATAGACTCTTTAAGAGATGTCCAGGAGTTTTGTTTGAGCCACTTAGTGGAGACAAAATGAGATATTTTAGCCTGTTTGCCGACGGGATTTGGGAAGAGTATTATATTCCAAGCCTGGCCGACCCTTTGTCAGCATTTAGAAGGATTCCCAGCAGATCCAATTTTACTAGTTGTGTGTCCCCTCCTATCTATTATGGAAGATCAAGTGAAGTACTTAACTGCGAAGGGGATATCAGCCGCGTTTGCGGGCAAACATGAAACAACAGACGCTGACATCGCAGCTGGCCGATTCAGTATTGTGTTCGGTTCTCCAGAATTGCTTGTGGGTGTTAAAAAGGTGCACGCCGGTCTGTTGTTGTGGGGACATTTCCACGCCCCGCAACGTGACGCTGAACGAAACGAACTGTAATTGGTTGTTTGACATGTCGGCCAAACGGCCTTATGGGCGGGCCTTGGCCAAAGAAAGCTGCTATGAATTCCAGACCTTCAGCCGTCAGTCTGAAGGTCTGGCTACGCGAGACTAATGTTTGACGGACCTGCTCACATAGTAACGGTTGCTATGATGTGTGAGGTACTAAGGTTTCCGCAACGCATTCTCATCCCAAGGCGTCATATACTGACGCTTTTGCCAAAGCGTCTACATCCGACGCACATGGCACCCTTTAGCGTCAATATAACACGCTTCGGTTATGGGTAGGTTTAGGTTTGGGGTAGAGTTAGGGTTATACCACTAGGAGGCGCCATATATCTGCGTCTCATATTGACGCTAAAGGGTGCCATGTGCGTTGGATATAGAGGCTTTGGTAAAAGCGTCAGTATATGACGCCTTGGGATGAGAACGGGCTGGTTTCCCACATAATCCATCGTCAAATCTTTGATTTACAGTAAAGTAACGTTATATGTGTGCAGTCATGATATGTTGCAGGTCGTAAAGTAACCTAAACAAGGTTAACTTATATAAAAGCAAATTCGGGCTCTATAGAGGCTATTACATTACTAACTTAGTCTAACATGATAATTCATACATGCATCACAGTATGTGTCCGGATTTTGATTCGTAAACAGTTAAACGTTTTACATAATGTTATATTAATATGAAACACAAACAAACAGATCCAACTCTGAAATGGCAGTTTATTGTTGAGTCAACAGGAAATTACAAACAATGCGAAATCTACGTTAATTAAAATGTTCTTTTACAGAACTCGGCATAACAGATAGCGTTTTTTTGCCTCCTGGATGCGCGCGCATCCGGTATTGTTTGTATACAAGAAACCCGTGTACACAGGATTCTACCCTAATCATATGTCTTTGGCCCATTTTTTATTTATTCATTCATTTATTTATATTTTTGTAATTAAATTTGTGTATAATTAAAATGTTTTGTTATGGCATCACCAAAAGACAAAAAAAATATAATAAAATAAAATAGAGAACCACTGGCTTAAGACTTATAGGGAAATAGTATTTATAGATAAACAATAAGAAATATATATTGCCTTGTCATTTATAATCAGATTGTTTTTTAAGAAGGATCTTTCATAATTCAATGTATGGAGGACTAGTGTAAATTCTGCACATTGGACAGCTCCCACGTTGTAGGCTACATTGTAACCCCCGTTGTACGTTGTAACCCCACAACCGTACGTTGTAACTTTTTTCTGTATAGTATCTTTGGGTAAGCATAAGAGGCACTTCATCCGGTTCGCAAACTCTTTCGTTCCAACATAAGAAAACATTTCTTGCAAATATGGCCGCAGGTGTTCATCTTTTGTTCTTCACCGGAGTAGCAGGTGCTGCCGCTAGAGGTCGACAGGTAGTGGATTTTACCGATAACAATAACTAGTTTGGACCATGCTGGCCGATAACTGATTAATCAACCAATAGTTTGTAAAATGGATACTGATTGAAAACAAACATAACATAAAAAAGTGCTGAACTTTATTTAAAAAACAAAACAAAAAACAGTACTGTACCATGAAAATGAACGGTACCATTTAATATATATATATATATATATATATATATATGTATATATTAATTATACCTTGATCATCTTGATGAATCTTGATATACCTTGATGAACTAATGTTAAGAGATACAACTTTAAAATGTTAAAACAATGCGACAAAAGTGTTTATTGTCACATTTACATCAATTTGTTCACTTTTATGCATTCGTTATCCAGCGAAATGGCATATATTTAAAGCTAGTGACAGAAAACGAACAGTATCGTCATGCACCCGAGAGAAACATAAATCAGAAATGCATTCGATTTCAGTTCTCTTTTTTATCATCACTGAAACACATATTTTGATTAGATAATCATCAAGTGTTCTAAAATAAAAGCAAATAAAGTGTGAGAGTATACATACAATATACATATGTCTAATTTCAATGCTATGGCCTTTGCGTAGATATTTAAAAATGGCCACCCATAAGCATGACTTTTTGGATTTATATGAAATGGTAACACTTTACAATAAGAGTTCATTTGTAACATTATAAGGTTAATAAAAGTATTTTTCATTGTTAATTTCAACATTTACTAATACATTTGAACCGCTTGAGGTAGGCTACTAATGTTTGCATCCTCTCAGCCTCGACGGCAAACATACTGCTGTTCTCCACTAATGCAGCATCTAGTCAACAAATTAATTACTTTATATTGATATGAAAACATGAACTGTATAATACAGTTTTGTTATGTTTTAAATCCGTTTTTGAAGTGTCCCGCTCTGTGCAACTTGCAGCCTTACGTGTCAAAACAAACTCCACAACGCGTCCTTTTATTTCGGTACTGTATAATGCCAGCAGACCCTTCTCAGCCACTCTAGCAAATCTGAAATCAACTCTGAAATGAATCAACTGCGGTTGTGCGAGCACTTGTTTGCACATGCTTGCTTGCAGTCTGTGTTCTCCCGAATTTATTTTGAAGTAAGTAACAAAAATTCTTCGGGGAAATTTATCGAGGTAAAAGTGTAGGCCTACATTTTATTCAGGAAATGTAGTGGAGTGAAAGTGAAAGTTGACAGAAATATAACAACTTAAGTAAAATACAGATTCTCCCAAAAAATACTTGAGTACTGTAATTAAGTATTACTAGTTTGTTACATTACACCACTGTTTATACTGTACAAACTGAATTTTCTATCCCCATAGGCCTACACTAATCCTACCCCATTAACCTAACCATCACAGAAAACTGAATTACATTTACATGACATTACATTTCCTATATTCTTGTTCAAGAATATATTTCACTTGGAAATACGTCACAATAGGGAAGATGATCGCACCGATAATGTTTTTTATAAAAAGCATCACACACTTTTGTGTATTGTGTGGTTGATTTATCATATGATGCATTGACCTTCACATGTGTTTCTGTTTTAGAATATAATGCGGCTGATTTCAGCTCGATGGACAGCTGTTAGTGTCAGTATAACCACAGTATACAAGCTGAGCTAACTTCCTTGCAAATGTGTGCACTCTAACAAACACACAAAACCACAGAAAGGCCAATGGAAACATTTGTGCCTGCATGGTGACCAGTGATCAAGAGGTGTGAAGTTTGAGTTTGATGACATGTCACAGCAGCAAATGTGAGGCGAATGCTGTAAGTGGTCTGAATATAAGAGTTGTGGTTTCCTGTTTTGACATGTTTACACGTTGCTTGTTTGAACCCACTACAATACGACAGAGAACATCACTTCGATAAAAAAAAAAAAAATACTTGACCAATAGAAAGCACAATATTTCTCAAGTGAAGATGATTATCTGCATGTCTGAAACCAAATTATTTGATGCTAAACACATCTATGATACCTATCAGATAAACAAAAGTTGTATCCTCTCTTCATATCTGTTTGATGATTATTTTAATTTTTTTTGTGAACCAATCAGAGCAATTCAGAGCAAAAGAAGTCTATAGGGTAACTAATGTTTGGTTAATACTGCTCTTACTCTTTGTACATACACGATAACCGAATTTAATGACAACCCCCTGTGACGTGAGACATTTTAGAAAAGATTTTCCATTGACGTGAACCAATCAGACGAGAGCTGCCGTCTGTAAGACCCTCATAGTGTCAGTTATTCACAGTCACTCACAGAGATGGAGAGGCCAAGACATGCTTTCGTCGTGTTGATGTGTAAGAAAAAAGGGTTATGAGAAAGTTTTCAGCTGTTTTGAGAGTTTTTCAAATGTCAATATTACTGTGCATATTTTTGAATGGTACATTTCAAATTTAAGTGCTTTATTAAGTTATTTTGCACTTTTACAGGTGTTTTGTTGTTCATTCAGATAAGAGTCTATGGAGCAGAAGTGAAGATGAAAGTCAGACCAGGAGACAACATCACTCTCTACTGTGATCGCTCTGTAACTCATGGTTTCATCATTGAATGGATAAGAAACTGCTCTCATGAAAACCAACCCTCTCTCGTAATAGATTTTAGGAAATGGGATTTAGAGATATTTAAGCGTTTCAGCTCTGTCCACAACCGCTCCAGTAATTCTCATGATCTACATATTACTAACATCAGTGTCTCTGATCTGGGACTGTATTACTGTGCAGAAGTAGAGAATAAGGTAAATAAAGATGAAAAAGGCATCATCTCCTCATCTGAAGTGTACTATTATGGAAACCAAACAACTCGTCTCTCTTTTGCAGGTAAGAAAACGTTATTATAAATGCTAATTATTATTACATTATTGCTTGTGTAATTCTGGAGAACTTTCTCAATCAAGAAGCAAGATGAACAGAACAAAAATATATATTTTTTACTAAGATTCATTGATACTTATTTGTTATATTGAGCAAGTGGCTTCTTGTTCTGAACCCTTTACACCTTATGACTATACATAAAATCAACATTCATTGATATATTTATGTTTATTTTATACAGAGAAAGTAACTTTGTGTTCTGGACCCTCGGACATCACCTCCACTCTTCCTCTATCAGACTGTGTTCTCTGCTGGGCGCTGCTGTTCAGTGTGTGTCCGGTGTGTGTTCTCCTCTCCTCTCTCTGTGTGTACTGCCTCTTTCAGAGGAAAACTACAGGTATCATTCACTATTTCCTACTCTTCTTTTGCATTGCCACAGTTTTAATTTGAATATAAAGGATAAACAGCTTTGTCAATTAGCATACTTTGGATAAGCAAAGCCTGCAAACAAACCATTTATGTATATGTGATGTTCTAATTTAAACAATTGTAGATGCTGCAACAGATCAAAAAGACCATTTGAAAAGTGGAAATACAATTGAGGTATGAACAATGCAAACACGCCCTTTCATTATAGACATTTAAATATAATATATGAAAGATGAAAACTTAATTTCTTTCATTCCAGGGTGAGGAGGAAGAGGTGTGTTACGCATCTTTAGACGTGATAACCAGGAGACAAAAACAACGCAAGACAAAGCGAGTCCAGTGTTCTGACTTCAGTACATATGCTCAGGTCAGAACAGAAACAGAGTAGAACTAAAATAGGACTGAAGTGCTTTCTGAAATATTCCAAATATGATAAAAGTTGCAGGTTTCATTATCATGTACCACACATGTAATGATACAAGGTAGTGGACTTTCCACCATTACATCTGAATGTAAAATGTAATTCTATACTTGGATACTTAGTCCCACTTTATATTAAGTGTATTTAACTACTATGTACTAACATTTAAATTAATAATTTTTAGTAATTCCTTATTATGTACATACATGTTTTTACAGTGTACTTCTATTTAAAAATAGCTGCCTGTAGCTGCAATTAATATCTGTAATTACATCTATAATAACACCGTTGATCCTTCCCTGCCCCCTTAAATCTAACCATACCATGAAACCTATCCCTAAACTTACCCGAATCCCACCTCAACAGAAGCAAATGTGTTTTTAATACAAAATGAAGACAATATTTACCTAACTTTTTTTTTATGTTAGTACATAATTAAAGACACCTAATATAAAAAGTGACTGGATACTTCAATAACTTTTTTCACACTTTTCACACACCGATACTTGTTTTTTCTGTCATGAGCTGTTATTCTTACTGTTGTTACTTTGTTGTTACTCTGGTCCTCATTGCAGTACAATGTTGTTTTCCTCTATTAAAAGTGTTTTATACAGTCTTTGTGGACACACAGTGATGACCTAAATAACAGGATGTAGAAGTGGGTTTCCTGTATGAAGTGGGGATTAGTTTAAGGTATTTCTATTTCTCTTAAACTCAATGATTGCAGCGTTTATCTGACTCAACTTTATAGTTAGCCTCATTAAATTTTCCCAAAACGTAATCCGTGGGGGATGAAGCGATGTAATTCTTTTGAACAGATAAAATCTAATTGAAATCAAAACAAATTTAAATATTCAGAGCATCAGAGTTGCTCTTCAAAGGAGTTTTACTGAAGTGCACCGTCTGTGTCTTTTTCTGAGGAAGGGTCTTGCTTTGTTTCCAGTTAAAAAGATAGCCATCTTAACCACAAATGTTTCCATTCAGTTTAGTGCTTGTGTGCATATGAGACAGAAGAAAGAGGTATGTGTAAATGTTCATGTGGTGAGTTTGTGGTGACATTGGTTTTTGTACATGCAGTGTCTGCAAAAGCTTGATTTACAGCGGCAGTCTTTCTTTAGACTCTCTGATGGACGAGGAAGTATCACATTTACTGCATCTCTCAGAATGAAGCACAAACAGCTGGTTTAATTTTTTGTATTTGCTTTCCTTTTTTTACGTTGGCAATGCATCCCACATGACCTCTCAAATGATGTTCAAATAATGCTAAATCAGTGCTATGCCATTTATATAAATGTGTCAAAAGGAATATGCTTCTTTTATCTGTACATTTTGTCACTGTATGGGCAGTTATTTTTTATAGTATGGGAGTGTATATTTTTACTTGTCCATGATCTGTTATTATGTCTGAAAGAGACTCATGGTGGTCAGAGCCATCAGTGAGTTTAGTTTTATTAGGGCCCTGAGGGGGGCAGTGTGGGTTTGCTTTTTGTAAAATGCCTAAAACATTTCAAATGCTTGTTATATTCCACATTTATTTGACTAATATTTGAAAGCATTTTTTTAATATGAAGGTTATATAGCAAATAAATGTGTCATATCAATTAATGTTATGAGTCAGTTTATTCAGTGTCCCTCATTGTGCTTGGCAAATCATTAAAGATATATTATAGATAAGTGACAAAAGAACATATGTGTTAAGAACATATTCGTTTGTTATTATTGTTGTTTAGGGTGTAAGTACAGTAACTGTGTGTGTGTGTGTGTGTGTGTGTGGCCCTATAATAAGAAATGGCAAAACATCATGGCCACTCTCTGTGGCCAGTAGGTGGCGCTCATGCAGTTTCAACAACAGTGTTTTGCTGTTCAGTAAAAAAAAAAAAAAAAAATCCATTCCACACTTTGCAGAAAGCAAGTCTGACAGAGAAAACTGGATTATAGAGTTATTAGAGGGTTGCAGTAACCCTGTTTGTTGAATTAAAAGGGCAAATAAGGTGTGGGTGATAACGAGATATTTAGACAAGTCCATTCAATCACTTATTTATTCTATAACTAAAGTGCCTCATCTGCACAACATCTTTATTTGAAACCCAAAAATCAAGGTTATTATTAACTAAATTATTATTAAACTATTATTAATTATCAATAACTAAAACTAAAACCATAAAAACATTTCCGTTCCATAAAATAAACCTTAACTGAAATGAAATAAAATGTAATAAAAAACAACCTAGTATCCATTTATAAGGATAATAAAGATTAACAAACTATGTTGTGTTTATTGAATACATACAACTGTTTTGCTTTATACAACAGCTCAATAAACAAGCACAGCAGTGGTGTTTCGTTCCTGAATGAATCAGCATTTTTGAATGAACCAGTGATCACTACCTTAAAATCACTTGAGACAGTGGCTGCGTCCGAAATCACATACTATACTATAAAGTAGGTGAAAAACAGTATGAAACAAAAGAAGTATGTCTGAATTCACAGTACTCATAAAAGTGTAGGCAAAAAGTATCCTGATGACCTTCTTCTTCCGGCGAGATTCTGAAGTCTGCATAGAGAGGGAGAGGATTTGTGAATGGCAGTGAAGTGACGTAACTGACACTGGTAGGTCAAATTATAAGACGTGTCATGGCGAATATAGTATGTCAAGGTTACACCCATACTAGTACACACATTAACACACTTGTTTAGCGGTCGTGAAGCTATTCAAAAAGAGTACCTATAGTCAAAAATGCATACTCTTGAGTAGGTACAATAGGTACTTTTTTTGCAAGTGCTAAAAGAGTATTTTCTATATTAGGGCTGCACGATTAATCGATATGAGACAGCACACGATTTGGCAAATGCTGCGATTATTTTATGCCAGTGAAGAACGGCACTGTGCTCAGTAGTAAATGCTGCTCCATCTGAAAGCCAGAGGGCGCTCTCAGGGGCATCATGCAAGCCAAAATTCTGGGGGGGGGGCACAATCTGAGACGTTGCAATTGTTTTCTGACGGGTGATATGGATCATGTTAGGAGGGGTCAGGGGGTTTCTCCCCTTGAAAATTTTTTAAATTCTGGCTGCTAAACATACCATTTCAATGCAGTTTGGGAGGGACAGAAATACCTTAACGGAGCTAGCAGCAACCCTCCTCTATCTGAGGACTAAGTAAGTTAAAGTATCTATTTTGTAAGTTTATGTAAAGACAGGTTGATGAAAGAACTGTAAGCTCAAATTCAAAAGCTTTTGAAGTCTACTTCATTAAAGCATGTTTACACACACACTTACTGTACACTTAGGCCTACTACACATGATTTTAAAAACAGTACCATTGCAGTTTTTATGTTATGATTTTAAATTGGTATGTGACCTATAGAACGATCTTACATTAAAGGTAGCCTACATAAAGGTGCTGAGGTCTGACTTTGTGGTGCTCTGAAATGAAGTTATTTTAATATTAATATGTGATGAAGGACTTTGAAAGAAGTTTGACAGATTTCAGTGCTGAATAAGGTTAACACTACCCCGTTTATTTGAAAATGGTTAATATTTGACAGAAATGTAAAAAAGTAATCAAATCAAATGCAATATGTATAGCGATCTGTATAACAACTGCTGTAGGCATTTGGGGGGTAGTCCTACTATGATATTAGACTACATTAAAAGATAATGAATTTCAAACCTGAACCAAACATATTTTTTAATTCAAAGATCAAAGTCTGTCATTAGTCTTTAGTCTGCCAAAAAAAAAAAACCCATTAAAATCATGAACTCAAATGTCATTGTGAAAAAAAAATGTGTTACTGTTGTAACAGTGTGTAGGCTAAATCAGACCTTTCAGGCTATAGCCTAATGCTAATAAGCCTTATGGCAAAATTATTATTACAACTAAATTGTCGGTCATTAAATAGGAAAACTAAATAATTTTGTAGATGATTTGCTTTGTGTAGGCCTAACCCGACATCAGACATTATAAGGCCCGGACGAAGTTTTTTTTTGCACACAGTGACGCGACCAATCAATCACTCCTTTAATGCTGCGTTCACACCAGACGCGAATAGCGCGTCAAATTCGCGCCTACCGTGTCTAGTTATAGCCTACGCGTGAACACTTTGAATCCATTCGCGCGTCAAGAGCAAATGACGCGCGTAAAAAAACTAAAGTTTAGACTGGCTGCCTGCACATTCACTGTCCTTGCGGCTGCGGCTGCGGCTGCGGCTGCTGCTGCTGCAATTGGAAGGGGCTGGCTGCAGGACGACTCAACTTCCACGGACAGTTTTTACAATTTTATATCAAGATTTTGCTTTAGTATAATTTTCGGGACAATTAAGGCCGGTTTCGGGATTCGGGACAACAGCTTAGATTTCGGGACTGTCCCGAATTTTTCGGGACTTCTGGTCACCCTAGGGAGGAAAAATCTGAAGGGGCACGTGCCCCCTCACTTTGAATGGGCATGACGCCACTGGGCGCTCTCGTGCAGAAACTCCACATATGCCCCACCACAGAAGTAGATAACACATGTCATTCCCATAGACAGTAAAAGAAATGGACACAGCGACCCCATAGACTTCAACGGAGAAAAGTGAAGTCAATTAGAAGCACTCACTTCCTGATGGCTGAGTGTTCTGCGCAGGCTCAAACTGAGCTTGACAACGTAGATGTGACGTGAGCAACCTGTCTGACAGTCTTCTAGCAGCTGTGCTAAGAGGAATCTGAATCATTCCCTTCAAAATCTTGCAGAGACGGAGAGCGTGAGTAGGAGCTGTCCATGAGCTAACAGCAGGATCAACTTTATGACTCTCTATGGGCTTCTGCCTTGTCTTTATCTGACTTTCTGCCTCCACGTCCCCCCGATTGCCTGCGAGCTTCTCCTCCAGTCTATACGGTAATTTCTCTACTGTGCGACAGAGAGATGCGTGGTTATGACGCAATCGTTAGCCTATTTTTACAAAAACTGCTTCTACGGGGCCATAACGTAAGATACAAGGTAATGGAGCCTTTTATACATTGTCATGTTTCTTTAGAAATAAACAATGGACAAATGGAGTCTTTAAACGCCTCAGATGTAAAGTTATTCGCTGTCAAAGTGATGCCAAAATGAATGGGA